CTCTCCCCTGGAGCCACACCCTACATTTGACATCTACCTTCCTGCACTGGAAGAAAATCAATTCCTGTTCTTGAAAGCCACCAATATATGGTATTTCTGTTACAGTTGCCCTAACAGAAAGGCAACTAAGATGAAGGGTAAATATATTCCGCTGTTTGGGTACGTTATAGTTATTTGTCCCACCTTTAGACCTATTAAAGCAAGCTCAAGCCCATGGAAGAGACCAGCCTGAACAAGGATGAGAACCAAAATGACCCTCAGCCCTGGCCTGTCAAATCAAATGGCCTGGACTTTCTTCTTTCTTTCCCCATCTCCTTCCTTCCTTTCTACCTCCCTCCTCCCTATTTTCTTTCCTCCCACCTTCTCTCTCTCCCTACCTTCCTTTCTTTTATAAATATTCCCTTGGGATTTATAGAAAACTTTAGCGTGATAAGCAGCAAAAGTCAAGATTAAATTACTTGAAATTGATATGACCCTGAAATCCCTCTACTTGGTATATATCCTCAAGAAATAAGAGCCGTGACACAAATAGGTAAATGCACACCCATGTTAATTGCAGTCACAATAGCAACAAGATGGAGACAGCCCAAACGCCAGAAGAATGCATTAACAAACTTTGGTACAAACACACAATAGAATACTATGCCATTATGAAGAATAACAATGAATTTGCAACACACTTCATAAGAACTGACATCTGAGTGGCCCATTTACCTGGACCTTTGAAATATACAGTAATGGAAGACTCGCTTTAGGACCAGACTTGAGAAAAGTTTGGACTATTAAGTGGTTAAGTAGTCCTGGTGTGGTGTTGTGGTATAAAGCACTGCACCACAAGGTTGGCTTGAACCACAAGGCTGGCGGTTCAAATTCACCTGCCGCTCCTCAGAAACCCTATATAAGGTGGCTATGAGTCGGACCTGACTCTCCAGCACTTAACAACAACAAGGACACTATGGGAGTCCCTGGGTGGTACAAACAGTTAATGCACTTAATTGTTATTAAAAAAAGGATGGAGGGTTGAGCCCACCCAGAGGTATCTAGGAAGAAAAGCCTAGTAATATACTTCTTGGGGGGG